TGTCGACTTTGGTGCTGTGAAACTTAAGCTCCTCGCCTTTCTGCCTTGCCAGGATCTGAAGTAAAGGGCAAAGTTAGACTCAGCAAGAAATAGTATAAAGATTTGAAATGACATGCTCAGAAAGGAGGAAGATGTTGACATAAAGATTTTATTCTTAGATGTTATTGTAAACAGCTTTGTGAAATGATTACATTTCATTTAATTTTATTTCAAATTCTGCTGAATACTTGAAGACTTATTTAAGAGGTATTTCCCCCCCAAACACCTTAAAATATTGGCTTTACAGGAAGTTGATATGAGGTCAAACACACAGATTATGTTATTTTTCTGATCTGTAACTGTCATGGTCCTGGGTCTCTTGACCCAGCGTTTTAAGTTTGAGTTTATTTTGTTCATTAGGTTATCTAAGTTCATTTGGTTATTAGACTCCTTGTGTTTTCTTCCCCTGTATTTAAGCTTCCCCTCACCCTTCGTGTTTCATGCTGCGTGTCTTATGTTATCAATTTTGTATTATTATGCCTAAGTGTTTCTAGTTATTATTTTCCCCTCGTGTTTCCAACCATGTTAAATCTCCCCTGCTCTTCATGCGTTTCATGTCTGTGTCTTACGTTGTCAAGTTCGGGTTGTCATGTCTATGTCTCATTATGTTTCCTGTTTTATTGTGAAGAGGTCTGGTGTTCTGTGTTCATCATGTTCAGTTTTACTCTCCCACTGTGACGTCATTATGTTCATGTGTGCCAGCTGTTTCCTCATGTGTCTCCACTTCCCCTAATCACCTCCTGTGTATTTAAGTCCTCTGTTTTCAGTGTGTGATTGTCAGGTCGTCTGTTGTCCACGCCATGTTTCCTATGCCATGCTTCCAAGTTTCTTGTCTAGGTTTTTCTTATTGTTTGTTTAGATTTCCCAGTTTAGGTTTGTTAATTTTGCTTCAGTTTGCCTTGCCCTTTGTTTGTACCTTTTTTTCCGGCCATATTAAACGGCTCGCTTTTTGTTAACATTCAAGTTTTGTTCCCTGTTCCTTGGAGTCTGCATTTTGGGTCCTTTTTCAATTCATACAGTCTGCCCTCGCCAGACTGTGACAGTAACACATCAGTAACATTGATGAGTTGCAACTGATTAAAAATATTATAATTTAATCCTGTAATGCAAAGTCTATCATATTTGATAGAGAAATTTTTAAGACCCCTACATGATCAGTGTAATATTTCCCCTGAAAAAACTAAATAAATTGCACAAAATACAAATTCTGCAAAAATGATACAAATCCTAACCCATATATGCAAATGTATAATTAATTAAGCTTTAAAAACCCTCCAGTTTGAGTATTTTATCTGGCCTTTATTTCATTGTTCAGGCTTTATAGGACTGATATGTTTTTGCTGCATGTAAGTAAAACTGAAATCTGAAAAACAAATTATTGTGAACATTAAGAATTAAATTTGCTCACTTCTTTTAAGTCAGTGCAATAAGCGTGCACTCATAGAGAAAGGGGACTCCGGTTCTCCAGTGACTAATGAAAGCTGATATCGTTTCCAGTGATTCGACCTTGGGGGCCTCGCAAATCTTTCTCAAGTGAGTGTTCATTTTGCTCATACAAAGGTGCAGCTAATCTGTGAAGAAAGCCCTCGGCACCTGCAGGGGTCCACCTGTCTGACCTCTTTCTTCCCGCTGACCTGAGACAATGCAAAGCTGGGCGGCTTCACCTTCTCCCACAGCTTGTGTTACACAACCACCCAGGGCAACAGTGGACATGAAAGTGCTGTTGCTTTCAGGTGAACTCAACACACCTTTTAACTCTCTCATAGACACGTAGACAAAATCTAACAACAAAAAAAACCTCTTAGTTTCTTTACTGAGCATAAAATGAACACAAAAAAAATGAATGATTATGAATAATTATTGGAAATAATAATATCTGCAAATAAATACACTGTTTATGCTGAATAGTCCAGATGTTAATAATCCTAAATGCGTTGTCAGAGTCAAGAATGGTGTATTAATCAGCATTAAATGCTTTAAATTACAGGAAGAAGTTATAACCTTTTTTTGCTACTGCCCTGCTGTGAAGTTAATATTGAGCATTTGCCATACCAGATCTTGACTGTAAATATAGTTATCTATATTTTAATTGATCTGCTATAAAAAAGTTTTATGCCCGCACTCAGTGAAGAAAATGCGGATGACATCAGTGAACATGATCTGATCTGACGCATCTGTGACCGAACCCACCAACAGAGATGCCTTTCACATATCTTACACTAGAACCCCCCAATCTCTTGCCACATTAGGAATGTGGCTAAGACCCTGACGCAGACCCCAACCCCCTCACACAACCCCCGCCCGACAACACACACACACACACACACAAACTGGGCACTGGGCTTTCTAGTTTCAACAATGCCCACATTGTGTCGTCTTCTGCTGTGTAATTGTGGCCCAGTGCGGTTCAAACTTCACACCCGCACCGGCGAACAGCAGCTGATGCAGCGGGAGAAGAGAGCAGACAGAACAATGGATCTGTTTAATGCTCCTGATTTTGGAAGATGTGACACAAAACGAATCAAATGACAATTTTCAGGGACTCAGCAGCTTCTGCTCAGCTGTTTGTGAGACTCCTTTATCATTTCCTCGTCTCCAGAGAGAGTACTCTGCGATACTTCAATAAGAGTTAAAACATGACCAGAAGCAGAAAGAGGAGCTTCGGACAGAAATGACTGCTGATTTTACTAATTAGTTATTTATGAACACGAGGCAGAGCAGGTGCTGCTAATGACAGCCCAAATAAATATTTAATTATGATTTTCTTAGACGATTGAATACAAGATTTTTTGTGATAGATGCTAACAATGGCAATTTTAAGGTAGTATAGCTATATAGTGACCTGCAGCATCTCGTCTCTGTTGTCTGGCTGAATTTGGAGGCTTTATTTGTCCACCTGATGCAAACATTTGCTGTTTACGTGCGTCCATTCAGCACAACCTGCATCAGTGCGTTTAATCTAAAAGCTGTCTTTTTAAGCATTTATCCGAGAAATAATAAATAGAGCAGTTCTTATGGCATTATTCTTGTTATGTGTATTTTTATTATACACATTTTATCCAGGAAGTATTCTTAAATTCACTTGTGAGAATATGAGGAATTCTGTAAAAGGTGGGTCATTTATTTGATATTTTTAAGGACTATAATTTAGAGTAAAACACGTGTCATAAATTAAGCCTGCTTATTTCAGCTGAGACTAAAAGATATTCAGTTTCTAACGTGTAATTATGACACTGATACAGTGGGGCAAAAAAGTATTTAGTCAGCCACCGATTGTGCAAGTTCCGCCACTTAAAATGATGACAGAGGTCAGTAATTTGCACCAGAGGTACACTTCAACTGTGAGAGACAGAATGTGAAAAAAAAATCCATGAATTCACATGGTAGGATTTGTAAAGAATTTATTCGTAAATCAGGGTGGAAAATAAGTATTTGGTCACCTCAAACATGGAAAATCTCTGGCTCTCACAGACCTGTAACGTCTTCTGTAAGAAGCTTTTCTGTCCCCCACTCGTTACCTGTATGAATGGCACCTGTTTGAACTCATCATCTGTATAAAAGACACCTGTCCACAGCCTCAAACAGTCAGACTCCAAACTCCGCCATGGCCAAGACCAAAGAGCTTTCGAAGGACACCAGGAAAAGTATTGTAGACCTGCACCAGACTGGGAAGAGTGAATCTACAATAGGCAAGCAGCTTGGTGTGAAAAAATCAACTGTGGGAGCAATCATCAGAAAATGGAAGACATACAAGACCACTGATAATCTCCCTCGATCTGGGGCTCCACGCAAGATCTCATCCCGTGGGGTCAAAATGATCATGAGAACGGTGAGCAAAGATCCCAGAACCACACGGGGGGACCTGGAGAATGACCTGCAGAGAGCCGGGACCAAAGTAACAAAGGTCACCATCAGTAACACACTACAACACCAGGGAATCAAATCCCGCAGTGCCAGACGTGTTCCGCTGCTGAAGCCAGTGCATGTCCAGGCCCGTCTGAAGTTTGCCAGAGAGCACATGGATGATACAGCAGAGGATTGGGAGAATGTCATGTGGTCAGATGAAACCAAAGTAGAACTTTTTGGTATAAACTCAACTCGTCGTGTTTGGAGGAAGAAGAATACTGAGGTGCATCCCAAGAACACCATACCTACTGTGAAGCATGGGGGTGGAAACATCATGCTATGGGGCTGTTTTTCTGCCAAGGGGACAGGACGACTGATCTGTGTTAAGGACAGAATGAATGGGGCCATGTATCGTGAGATTTTGAGCCAAAACCTCCTTCCATCAGTGAGAACTTTGAAGATGAAACGAGGCTGGGTCTTCCAACATGACAATGATCCAAAACACACCGCCCGGGCAACAAAGGAGTGGCTCCGTAAGAAGCATTTGAAAGTCCTGGAGTGGCCTAGCCAGTCTCCAGACCTCAACCCCATAGAAAATCTGTGGCGGGAGTTGAAAGTCCGTGTTGCTCGGCGACAGCCCCAAAACATCACTGCTCTCGAGAAGATCTGCATGGAGGAATGGGCCAAAATACCAGCTACTGTGTGTGCAAACCTGGTAAAGACCTATAGTAAACGTTTGACCTCTGTTATTGCCAACAAAGGTTATGTTACAAAGTATTGAGTTGTATTTTTGTTATTGACCAAATACTTATTTTCCACCCTGATTTACGAATAAATTCTTTACAAATCCTACCATGTGGATTCATGGATTTTTTTTTCACATTCTGTCTCTCACAGTTGAAGTGTACCTCTGGTGCAAATTACTGACCTCTGTCATCATTTTAGGTGGGGGAACTTGCACAATCGGTGGCTGACTAAATACTTTTTTGCCCCACTGTAAGTGATTCAGTGACACACTCCGCCATCATGGCCAGAGGTGGCGCCGTGGAGTACCACCCTAACCCGGTGGGGTTCAAACAGAGGCAGCTTTCAGTCATCAATTGACAGAGCAGAGAGGAGCCTAATTTTGGGACGGTTGGGCAGATCTGTACGACGCTGCAATGCTGCCGCAGGGAGGACGCTCTGCTGCTCACGCTGCACTTTTATTCTTCGTTTATGTCCTGGAGGCAACTTTTGTGCTCGGCTTTAACCTGGACACCGATCATGTCCTCAGGAAAGACGGAGAGCCTGGGAGCCTGTTCGGCTTTTCTCTGGCCATGCACCGGCAGCTCAACCCGGACAAAGTCATGTGAGTGATGTCTCCAGATGTTCACGTCTGTAGAGCTGTCTGAGCTCCTTGGAACAGGTTCATTTAACAAGCAAGTTTAGGGACTTTTCTGTCAGGTGGCATCAGCGCAGAAATTCAAATGTGACTGGAAGTGCTGTGAGGACTGACTGGCTTACACTCTACCTACTTTCTGTTTAAACTTTAAATAATGAGAGAAAATAACTCTTTAACCCTCTCACGTGTTACAGTCGTGCGTTAGAGCAACTTTCTAATACAATGTCCTTTAACTTTATCTTTTTTTTTTTTTTACCCAGTTTTCCCCAAACCCCACAGGGTTTCTCACACGTTTTGTTTCAATTCTCGGTGATATCAGCAGTTTCCCCGCTGATACTTTGAATATGAAGTAGGGAAACAGCCAAAGGATAACAAGTGAATTTACAATGCTTGTAGTGTCATGCAAATGTGCCTGCAGGGTCAAACCGAGGCAGCACTGCGAGGAGAGAGGTAATAGGAAATAAAAGGGTCTCAGGATTGCTTTGCAAACGAGTGGATTTTTCAATGTACATAAAAAGGATCGAAGCTATTATTCCTGACATTTCATTCACCGATTACAAACAGCCAAAAAATTTCCATTCAAGATGCTATAATAATGTGTCTTTCAGTATTCTCTTGTCTTTTAATCTTCTAGGTTTCCTGTTATCAGCTTTGTTTGCTGGCGTTCTGCACGATCCTGGCAGTTTTTAGATTAGATTAGATTTTTGCTCTTGTGAGACAATTAAGAAGAGAAATCAGAACATGCTGACTAATGCAGCCTCACTCACTGGATTTTTCAGATCGCTTTTTCACAAACATTTCTTTGTTCACAAAGAAGCATTCAAACTGAAAAGAGGAACTTTAACATTTGTCTGGCTTGGCAAGTCTAAAGGGAGGGAAAAGTCATGAAACTGATGTCATATTTGTCGGGCAAATAGAGCCTTGAAATGTGACACTGGCTTGAGAGTTTGTTTTCAGCCTGTAAAAGTCTGGGGAGCGTGCCTCTTTTACATCCTGCTCAGTGAGGAAGCAAACCTTATTTAGGGGAGGAAAAACCAGAGCATCTTTTTTTTATGTGAAAGGAACCTGAATATTTCAGGTTTTGGACTGTTGTTTAGACAAAAAATAAAAGCTTATAGGGAAAGCTGAGTGATGTGAGCATTTTCATATAGGAAATGTTTTCTTCCTAATCACCAAGCTCAACAGCTGTGCAGAAGTAAGCGCACATCTACCTGACAAGAGGCCTGTGCTTATTACAGGATGTAAACATAACCGCCTCGCTTGGTTGAGCTGTAAGGGCAGCAAGCTGCACGTTTTCATATGCTTGTCAGATATAGTTTGCAGTAAAAAAAAAAAAAAAAAAAAAAAAAACAGTACTCACAACAAGGTTTATGGAGCTTCAAGTAACTTGGTTTCATGAGCTGTTTTGTGTATTCAAGAGAACTCCCTTCAAAACAGTTTACATGTTTAAATAATGCCAGAAGAAAATATGCACTGCTAAAGAAATGTATTAGACCAGCTCTCGTAAAAACTAGAAGACACAAATATTTCAGAAATCTTTAAAAAACTTGTTTAAAACTAAAAATGATCCAAATTCATGTTTTCATACCGAAGTTTGAGTCGGCATGTTGAACTCCTCTGATAAGTCAGAGATAAAGCAAGCATAACCACTTGAACCACTCAAACAACTTCTTCTTTGCAGGAACCACTTTTTTTTTTCCACATGTGAGCTAATTAATGTTTGATTTAGCATTACTTAACCAGCCACACCCCCAACCACAGGGGGCCACAAACCAGTGTACTACCAGTGCCCATAAAAGGGGAGGGTTGTGCCAGGAAGGACATGCTGTGTAAACTCAAAGATACGCATCATCTGTAAAATTTCCATGTTGGATCAATCAAAGCCTGAGTAACAACAGCTGTCACTTGTGCAGCTGACCAGCAAGATGTTAGTGGAAATTGTGCTATTGTTGGCTGAAGACAGATGAGGACATGCATGGGTTGGTGTGACACTGGAGGAGGCTAGGAATAAGGTGAGATGGAGGTAGACAGTCCACTGTGGGAGACCCCTGAAAAGAAGAAGATAACTCCACAGAGTAAGAATGTGTCCTCCTGATCATATAAAAGAAAGATATGTTTATGGTTTTATGTGGTTTTATATGGTTTTATTTAAAAACTGACTTAAATAATTACTTTGTTGTTTTAGTTGACAAAACGTACAAGCACTGAAGTGACTCATTAATTGGAGCCCTAGTTACAATGAGCTCACATTCTTCAGCTCTTCTTGGTTGAAACTTCAGACACTGAGACACTGAGAAAGTGTAGCTGTACGGAAATAATAAAAGGACAGTAATGACGTAATAAACAGCAGCTCAGTCATGATCTTAGCTCTAGATCCTTGTGTGACCCTGAGATAATCAGTCAGACGAGACAAGAGGAAGCTCAGCAGAACAGCAGAACAGCTCTGCGTGACCTAAAGCTCTGAGGACCTCTGAGCCGGCGAAACCGCAAGTCAGGGATGCGTCACGCTGTCCAACATCCGTCGCTCCCGATTTTTTACGAAAACGTGTCATGACAATCGCCGGCAGCTGCAAATCTCTGCTGGCTATCACTACTTACTGTGCATCAGTCTGATTATGATAAATCATATGTGACGAGAGGAATGCTGGACTTCACTGGCTCTTTTTTAGGCCCTCTGCCCTGATGAGCGGTAGATGTAACTCCTCTCATGCCAAACCTACACAGGCTGAATTTCAGCTAAAAAAACACATTTTTTTGACTCTTCTGATGATTAAAGTGCTGGTGAATTTAATAACCAGGAAACCATCGCGTTGGTTAAGTATAGTCACAAGGTGTTTTGTTTTTGTTTGATTTCTAAAGAGATAATTAAAGCAAAGTAGACTCTCATTTCCATAAGTCACTGAAAGTATTGCAAAAAGTTGCTATTTGGCATTTTGATGCCTCTTTCATGAGTAATATGTTAAAGATGGTTTTAACATTCTCTCAATGAAACCAGACTGGGCATGCACGGCCATCTGTGCACATGTAACCCGATAGATTAAACGCATCAGTGAATCATCAGTGGAGATACTCCAGTCAAACTTCACACCAATGTCTGGCTAGTGTCAAGATAACAGATAAGTGGTCAATAAACAGACCCCCCGAAAATCCTCTAAAAACTTTAATCTTTACTTAAAGTTGACACGATTCTGTGATGTGTGTCAGCCAATCACAGGTCAGCAACAATCAGTGTGCGATGTGTAAACTGAAACAGTTGGAACAGCTGTGAGTTTCTTCTTGCTTTGAGTGCACAGCTGTGAAGGCATTGGAGCACATCTGTTAACAGAGACCAGTGAGATCACTGTGAAAGCCAACACCCGCCACTATGCATTTACGCCGCAGTGAAAGACACCCCACATGATGACTCTGAGTGGGACATTTTACATCTGACATGGTTACATTTTTCCTCAGTAGCCCAGAAAAAACGAACAAACTTTCACACTCTTTCTTCATTTCTTGTTACTTACATACACATGCACATCCATGATGCTAATATCAGCATGTGTGGTCCCTGTTTCGTTGATTAGGCTGTGTTTTTGGCAGTTTACAAATTGGACCGTGCAAATTCTCACATGTTGCTCAATATGTTTTTTGTACTGAGTCTATCCTCATCTGTTCGGTATTAGTGTCTTTTTACTGTCCACTCTCAGATTAGGCTTTTTCTTTGCAGCTCTGCCTACATTCTCGTCACCTCCTCACTGTCACTGTTGGGGGTCTTTATTTTACAGGAGCCATTCATTAAAGCTGCGAGCTGAGGATGCTTTCTCAGTTTAGATCGATGTACTTGTTTTCTTTCTTGGTTGTACACAAAGGCCTCCCACTTCTGTTTCTATTCTGGTTAGAGCTTTTTATGCACATCTTCAGAAGAAAGTTCTGTTGGCAATATCATCACATGCACCAAGACTGACAGATACTCAGCTAACTACGTTGTTGCTTCTTTAATCATCAGTTTTCAGCTGTGCCAACATAATTAGCTTTTTAAGGTGATACAGTTGAATTAAATAACATGATGTGCTACAGGAACATAGGAATGATGGATCTTGAAAATGGGCTTCCATAGGCACTAGATATGTTGATATTCTGTTAAAAATGTCTTTATGACTGAAATTATATTTCAGAAGGAAAAACAAACAAAGCAAAGTGAGGGGTTGATCCTGACAACTACAGGTCATCAGTCAACGAGCATTCCCTTCATATTCCTTATTTCTAACACTTAAAATGACCTTTGTTTACAAAAGGGAGTTAATGATTTCATCAGCGTGGCCAGAAATGAGTGACTGAGCAGACTGGCAGAGAAGCTGGCGGTCCTTTGCAACCACAGGTATCAGATGGCCGATAAAAAGAAGGCAGGTTTTTCTAATATACTAAATATAGTTTAGATCTGAACAGGGCAGGAAATAAAACATACCACAAAGGAACAAGTAGGGGAAAACTTTTAACATTACATTTATTCTTTTATTTATTAAGTCATACCTTTTTTTGCACTTTTAAAAAAAACCCACTTTATGGTCTACTGTGTTGTGTTTTGTGTGTTTTAGTTGTGCTTAGGTCCAACATGTGACCGTTTCCAATTTCATTGAACCAAGTATGACTGTGCAATGAAAAGAAAGTGTTATCTCTTATCTTATGTTACAGCAGCTGCAGAGTGTTGCTTAAAGAGCTCACAAACACAGTGGCAAACACACCAACGTCCAGCTGCTTTTAAGATTTATTGAATGAACCTGCATTTAAAATAACTTTGATATTTCTTAGTTTTATCATTTACCCATAATCCCAAACTGTAACAAACTGTAAAGATTCCTTTTTAATATTTGCATGTCGCCGGGCTTTGTTTGAGAGGATGTTTAACGGCTCGGTTAGGAGGGTCCGTGTTGAGCAAATGAAACGCAGCGGGGCCGACCCTACAGATCAATAGGTGGGTCAGAGTCAGCTGCAGTGAGGAAGAAAGAGAGGATTTCCTTTCATTCCTTAAAACAAATTCCTTCATTGTAAGCTTGATGGTCAGCTAACATGTGAAGTGTTTAGATGACTGTTAGTGTAAAATGCGTCAAACTATTGTTTTGGTGCCAACTGGTCCCCAGTGACTCACATCCTGTAGTCTGATGTGTTCTGTTCACTGGCACACAGTTACAGTGTGTTAAAGTTTAAAATCAATCAAGCCTGAATATCAGACGTCTGTATCAAATGGCAAGTGTCACAATTTTCTGTTAAGAGCTGTGATTTATGTTAAGATTTTATCTATTTGTCTAAATGATAACAATAATATCATCCACTGTGTCTTTGACCTGTGCAAGTACCACAACACTGAGTGGAGGGAAGAGTTGTGGTTGAGTCTTGATGCATGCTCAATCATCCAGCTAAGGAAATCCCTGAAAGTTGACGTAGCGTTTTAAGGGGGAGAAACGCTTCATCCAACCAACTTCTTCAGTCTGTGGATGAGGTGATAGTATTTGTTAAAACTTATATGGCATACTGTTATATATGATGTGATTTTACTTGATCACAAGTAATAACCTTTATTTCCTTTTATTTTTAACAGGCCATCTCAGTTGTGTGCTCAGTGTTACTTTTAGTGCAGGAAGTGGTTCAACCCCACTCTATCTGATCAAGACTGCTTGTGGTTTTTCTCCCTCACTTCCTTGCACATTTACTTGACTCTGACACTGTGTAAAAAGTCACACAAAGCAGGTGCTCACTGCATTTCATACCCAGATACAGTATCTAATTGCAGATGCACTGCAACTGTATTTGAAGCTGCTGAATGAATCCTAAAAACGTTTTTAAAAAGTGTTAACAATTACATTTTCAAGCCAAGTAGTAAAATGTACTTTATGAGAAGCGTTGTATATCAGTGTATTTTGTACAGTTAATTCATAGAAATTTCATGTTTTTAGACCCTTTCACTTTCTTCCTGAAATAACTGTAAAACATGTTAAAAAACGCGTAAAATGTGACCGTTGCACACTGCACTGCACAGGAGGGACCATGATTCATGTGCAGTAAAAGCTCGAAAGAAAAACATAAAAATATTCAGATATATTTAAGTGCAAATGTAGGTGTATAATCAGCATAATCACACCCAGTCTTACTATTTCATAGTCCTGTAAAATAACCTGGTCTGCACATAATTTTTGGCAGAAACAGGCTGGGTTTTTGAAAACTATTTGTTCATGCATTTGTCTGTGTTTCTTAAATCAATCTGTAAAAAGACAGTCTGTTGAACCCCAGTGACCTGTGTGTTGGTGCTGCGTATGTCATTGTACCGGCTGCTGAAAACATATAAAACACAGAATCTCTTTCTGAGATGTTAAAAGATGTGTGAGTCTCTGCGACAGTGCGGGGTTTCAAAGGGAAGTGTGTTTAGAAGAGAGCAACAACCACAATACTGAAAAGCAATAGTCTGGTTGAGTTCCCCCTTGCCCTCTGCAGGGTGTGAAAACACTAGTTTATTGCCATATTTGGAACTTCTCTAATTTTTGTTCCTAAAAAATAAAAGATGCTCCTGAGAGCCAAGAAAACAAAAATGTTTTGATGTTTTATTTTATTGTAAACAGTTTAAGAATTGTATTGTAGTATTGTAGCTTAAAGAAACATGCTTTTCAATTGTCAATTGTTATTTCTTTTTGATCTTCTGCTCCTGGTAGTGGACGTCTGGTGCTGCTTGATCCCAGAAGGATATGATGTAATGATATTGTTTTCATTTTTGTCTGGCTTTCTGGTGAAAGTTCTTTTTATTTTACGAATTTTAAAATGAAGCAAACACATCTGAGCATTAAAACATTATTTTAACAAATAATTTCTCATAGTCAAGCTTTTGTTAACCGGCATTCTGCATATCTGATAGTCACCTAAAGCGGGGTTGTTAGATCATGTCACCCATTGTACTAATAGGGATCATGAAAGGTATGACAGAGAACTGAGTGAGGCAGAAGGGAATTTACTCAGAATTGTGGAAGTGGAGCCATAAATTAGCCTCAGAGATAGGCATACTAGCACTTGAGGAGCCCCAGCAGGGCCAAAATGATGACAGCTGTCCTTTAACCATCAGTATTGCACTCATTTGTTGTTTCCCTTCATTATCACTGTTGATATTTTTATATGTTTTTATATGTGTGTGAAATTCTACAAGCTGTGGCTTTGTTGAATGGTATCCCAGCAAAGGTAACTAAAACAACAGTTCCCAAACTTTTTATGAAATAAGTTTTGGATTAAATATATTTCTGTCTTGTTTTTTGTGTGTTTTTTAGGGTACTGATTGGTGCACCCAGAGCCCGGTCTTTGCAAAACCAAAAAGCCAATATCACTGGAGGCCTGTATAAATGTGAAGTCACCCAGTCTAGTAATTGTGAGCGTATCAAATTTGATGATAATGGTGAGAACTCTGCCTGCATACCTACCTAAACAAAATCCACTGCCTTTGTAATTTTGACAATTTGTAGAAACCAAGCTTTCCAAGTAAAATGTTCAATTATGTCTGTTGGCAAATTTTCAGCGGATCTGAGACTTGAGAATAAAGAGAATCAGTGGATGGGGGTGTCAGTGAAGAGTCAGGGACCTGGGGGGAAGATTGTGGTGAGTCAAACTAAGTATTAAAACCATCGTTCTGTGGATCCTCGTGCCCTGGTTCAGTAAAGGTCTTACTCGTATCTTTTTCTTCAGACATGTGCTCATCGCTATCAGAGGCGTTTGAATGTGAATACTCCAGAGGAGACTCATCACATCCCCGGACGTTGTTATATTCTGAGTCAGGACCTAACCATTGACCCTCAGTCTTCTGAGGATGGAGGTGAATGGAAATTCTGCGATGGCAGACCTGAAGGCCACGCAATGTTTGGAACATGCCAGCAAGGACTGGCAGCTACTTTCACCAATGACTACCATTACATGGTTTTTGGAGCAGTGGGAGCTTACAACTGGAGAGGTCACTATGTGATTGTGTCTTTATATGCTGTTTATCTTCATTAGAGGATTTAATTTTTGTACATGAATCTCATTTTTTAATCCTAATTTTTCTCATCACTTTGTGCTCTTAAATCTAGGGATAGCGCGACTGGAGCAGAATAACAGTACTTTTCTGGACATGGGAATATTTGATGACGGCCCATATGAAGTTGGGAATGAAAAAGTCAGGAACCCTGATTTTGTGCCTGTACCTGCAAACAGCTACCTCGGTGAGTTGAACACCCACAGATATTTTTTTTTCCGTCACTTGTTTGATGTTAGTTCATTAATTTCCTCAAGCAAACGTGAATGAGCTAAAACAATAATGTAAAAAAGAGTGAGCCAAAATTCCTTTAAAAAGATGTAAAGACCAATATGGTCATACGGAAATATCCAGATAAACAGAAGTAACTTTCTGGGATTTCCTTACCTGGATGATTATGCATACATGAAGATATTCATCAAGTTATTATTGCTGCTACACGTGATTTTACAAACTACTGAATTCTGGGGTGTACTTAGTTTTTCAGAGGACTTCAGAGAGACCTGTAAAAACTTTGGTTTTCATATCATTGTATAAAGGGGGTCAGGGGGTCCTTTGTCCCACTTTGGGGGGAAACTCCCACTGGGTTTAAATCTGGGACTCTCCGCCATTTGACCTTAGAACTGAAGAAGCTTCTCGGATGAGAGGTGAAACGTCTTCAAGCAACTTCAAGAAGTCCAGACACTTTTCTTGCAAGCTCCTTTGACTACGATGACCTGGATGACTGAGAACCTTCACAGACATTGTATAAAAGTACAAAATTAGGCTTACCAAGCAAGCATGTCCCTCAAACCTGCTCAGGCCAACATCGAAAGAAGAGCTTTGATTGTCCTTCAAGAAGCCTGGAGAACTATTTCTGAAGACGAATTAGAGAAATTACAAGAAAGCTTGTGTCAGAGAGCTTTGAAGAGTAAAGCTGGTCATACCAAGCACTGACTTTCAAGTTTGTTAGATGTTCAGACTCACATGTTTCGGCCTTAGATACTATATTTCCATGTATTTTTGTGTATGTGTCAATAAACTGCTGCACCTACTTTCCATTTTTCTCGCAAAATATAAAGCAATGAGAGGTAGCTCAACACTTTTGCACAGCACTATAAACCTACTTCATTTAACACACTTTAGGATTCTCCCTTGATTCGGGACACCACATCACCACTAGGGGTAAGCTGACAGTGGTGGCTGGAGCGCCCAGGGCCAATCACAGCGGAGCTGTAGTCCTGTTCAAGCAGGACATGGTAGCAGGAAACCTCTCAACGGAGTACATTCTGCATGGTCCGGGTCTGGGATCCTGCTTTGGATACGACGTGGCTGTAGTGGACCTGAATAACGATGGGTGTGTAACATTTCTGACTGCCTTTGGGTACATTTATTAGATTGTTCAGAAGAGTAGACTCGATCCAAACTTAACAATTCACAAAAGAGTATAAAACACATAAATTTCAGATTTGCACAACTTTCTTTAATATCACTTCATTTAAAAAAATATTTTCCGTTTTTAAGTACTTTTAATAGCGTTTTTTGTTTTTTCACTCTATGTGATACTAGGTGGCAAGACATAGTAATAGGAGCCCCTCAGTTCTACATGAAGGGTGAAGACATTGGGGGAGCTGTTTATGTTTACATCAACAATGCAGGAGTTTGGGAAGGAAACACTCCTGTCCGTCTAATAGGGACCAAAGACTCGATGTTTGGCGTGGCAGTAGAGAACATCGGCGACATCAATCAAGACTCATATAAAGGTGATTAAGCTGACCTTTTTGCGCTGTGTTTGTCTTGTCTTTGTCATTTGCAGTCACATAAATTGTGTTTTTTCCTCATACAGACATTGCGATTGGAGCTCCGCAGGAAGATTCTGGGACAGGAAAAGTCTACATTTATCACGGCTCTGCACAGGGGATCAAAACGACCCCTGCACAGGTGGATATTTGTTTAGAAAATTATATTACGTCAGTGTTTTGTTACAGTCTGAATGCTTTCATGAAGTCTGGTTTATGCTGTTGCAGAACCATGTTGCTAGTGATAAACCTCTAAAGCTAGCTGCCAAAGTTCAAAATGACTTTTTTTTTCCACCAGCATATTCCTGATGAACCTAATAACGGCTCCAAATGAATAAAAGTGTTTCTCCATAACTGCTGGACTTAAGAAACATCGGTTTGGTACAGTTTTTTAAAAAATAAGAAGAAGAAAAATACACGGCTACCCCTAATAGTGAGCCTTAACAGTCTTGGAAAAACAGGATTTTGCATCTGAAATTTTTTTCAGACTTGGGATCAAGAGATAGAAAGCCTGTGCTACAGCATTTTCTCATTATTAATATTTCTTCTTGCTCTTAAACTCAGACATACTAAGGTAAAGTAAAATCTTCAGCTAGTTTAGCTGCTAATTTAAAAAACCTCATTGGGACAACTTTGTCTTTACCGTGTTTCTTTTCCTCGCTTAATTTCAGTTCCATCTTTATTTTCCAGATCCTTTCAGGGAAAGACCACAACATTCGATTTTTCGGCTATTCTCTTGCAGGAAACATGGACCTGGATGGTAACTCTTATCCAGACTTGGCTATAGGCTCTCTGTCAGATTCAGCTATGATTTACAGGTAACTGTGGCCTTAACCGTTAGTTTAAATTTAGTTAAAGTCCTACTGACCTCAATCACAGTTTTATTTAACCATCTTTCTTTTAGAACAAGGCCAGTCATTAGCCTCAACAGTGTTGTCAAAGTGTCTCCAAATGAAATAAGTCTTACAAATAAGACGTGTGGGGACCATGTTTGGTAGGTGTTCTTATATTATTATATTCAAACAGACTTCAGAGTGAAAACTTTCTTTTTCCTAACAATATCTGTTTTCTGTCCATAGTTTCACTGTGATGGCATGCTTTTCCTACAAAGCTAATCCTGCATCTTATAATCCAAAGCTTAGTATGTAAAAATTTATTACATTATTTTTCCATTTTCAAATTTATTTTTTTCTAACATTTTACTTCAACACTGCAGCTGTTAGCTATTCTGTGGAGGTGGACAGAGCTCACAGGAGAGGACTGACTTCCAGAGCGATGTTCTTAAACGACTCCAGCTCTGAACTAGAATACCAGTTCAACGGCACCTTAAAACTCAAAGAGCAAAATCAGCAAAAGTGTATCAAACTAATAGCCAGACTTAAGGTAAATCAAGTGTCACACAGCTACATCACTGAGAACAAGCTAGAAGCCTCTCTCAACTTTAAACTGGAGAAATTATTAAAAAAATGAAGACATGGACGTTGACGATAGTAATAACAATTTCTTGGAGATGTCAGTATTCGAAAAATGCATGAACATATGTAGTGCTAACTTTGAGGTCATTTATAATAAATGAATAGTGAAATTATATAAATCAAAACTGTAATAGTATATATTAAAACAGAGACAGTAACAGTAAATCATAATAATAAATGCATTAAAAGCCTTTTTTTGTGATTCACGAAGGATAACATCAAGGACAAGATGCGTAGCATTCCCATTGAGGTGTCGGCAGATATAAGTACAAAACAAGAGGAATCAATTAATGGCCTCCCTCGCATGATTCCCATTTTAGACGCCACTCAACCGAGCAAAATCATTTCTGAGGTAAAGGCAACTTCTAAATGTAAACACTAAAACTCATTGTGTCGAGTTTGTTATGTAACATTTGTATATTTGTCATCATTTCCTGTTGTTTCAGGTGAACTTTCTAAAAGAAGGATGTGGAAGCGATCATATTTGCAAAAGTAACCTAAAGATGAATTATAGTCTACACTACAAAGAAGCCAACAAAGAGGAGTACCCCCCGTTAAATAAGAGGTTAAAACTCATTCTCAGACTGTAGTAATATAAAGTAGCATTGATTGAGTTTTGTAATGGGACCAGTTGGACTTTAAAACCCACCCTGCTTTTTCATGCTTTGGCCTTTTGGATGACACACATCAAAGTGAATGGTTGAGTCTCACTGGGCCACCAACCCTACTTAAGCTCAGACATGCTGATTGCACAACATACACAGTTTGCTACACGATTGTTATCACTGAAGAAGCATGTTTTCTTTGTTTTTGTTTTTTTCATCACTGGTCATGACTGTGTGTCTGCAGCAAGAACGGCATCCCAGAGTTTATTGTGAAATCCCAGAGGAAGGACTTGGCTGTGTTGGTGACAGTAAGCAACATGAATGGTGACGATGCTTATGAGGCAAAGCTGGTGGGGACCTTCCCAAATACCATGTCATATTCTGGAGTCCGCACCGATCAAACAACAGTAAGTCGACTGTAAAATTACTTTGTTGTATTGTAAGAAAGTTACAAAATTTAAAGTCCTTTACCTGCAATTGATTCAAGCCCTAAAAGCATTAATCAAAATACTAAAAAATGACTTCCACTGTGGCTTAAAATACCTGGAGCATTTCCGCTGTTTAATATGCAGGAGGTATGAATACACAGTATATGGATGATGATGATGAGAGAGGTGGGCCTGGCAAGAGGAAAATCCAGTATTCAGATAATTAAACACAAATCCCTGACTGATTGAATCCATGACAGTGACTGCTTGTTCCACTCTTCTGGCATATAAAAAACAACGTAATGGGACTGTTACGGGTTTAAAAGCTTGGCCTTCTTTGTATGGAAGCCCGTTTCCGCCACTAAAAAAAAAAAGGATCCATAACTCAAAATTCCGAGTTATTTTCTCAAAATTCCGAGTTATTTTCTCGAAATTTCGATTTATTAACTCAAAATTTTGAGAAAAGCAACTCGAAATTTCGAGTTAGCGCTGCCAATCAGTAATCTACGTGAATGACGTCATTTCCTTGTTACCCAGAAGCTGAAGCCCTCAGCTACAAATGCTACAGCTAAGCTACCGGTATTACATCCAGTCGTGAATACACAGATTGCTGAGTGTTTTCAGCCTGGCTTCACAAATGATGAAATCCCTGTGTTATTAGCTGAATCACATGGTGTTACTATCAGCAAACGTACTTGCGAAAGCGCCAATTTGTTGGGATCCGTTTTTGAGTGCGCGTTCCTCTGCGCCATATGCTTCCGGGTAACAAGAAAGCGACCTCATTCACGTATATCTTTGATTGGCAGAGCTAACTCGAAATTTTGACAAAAGTAACTCGAAATTTCGAGTTATGGATACTAGCTTTTTTATTTTTATTTAGTGGCGGAAACGGGCTTCCATATCTTTGTGCATGTTCTTTAGCGTTTGTAATAGTTTGCATGCTAGCAGCTAAGCTCAAGTACAGTTCTACATCATCAACAAGAGAGTCGCCCCCTGTTGGCCCTTTGGAAAATTGCAGGTTTAAGGGGCTTTACCTTTTCTAAAGCCTAGTGGCTACATCCATCTTTTATATACAGCTTATGACCGCGTCATAAAGTAAATACTTGGATATATTACACACGTTTTCCGATGTGTTCTTTTCTAGATGGAAAACCTGATCACCTGTGATGCAAATGTAAACAGCTCTCAAGCAGAATGTGAGCTGGGAAATCCTTTTAAGAGAAACTCAAAGGTACAGAAATGTCACGCTCCTGCGCTAATGCTTTCTAAGACACTTGGCTGTTGTAATTTATATGTAAGAAATGCTACTACTTTTTCACAAGGTTACCTTTAAAGTCATCCTGAGTGCTGCGCATGTGACTTTAGACACCACTGAGATTGAGATCGACCTGCAGCTGAATACGTAAGTAAAGATGCTGAGATTCGCTTTCTGTTATGTGCTGCACACTTTCAAACTGGAATGTGTTATTGTTATTAATATTACTATCCTTTTCGTTTAGGACCAGCTACCAAGAAGCAATCCATGTAAAAGTAAAGTGTAAAGTGATCATTGAATGGCCTTTGTCTGTCTCTGGGTAAGTTTGTTCTCGCAGAGATTCCTTGACTTGTTTGACTTCACCTTTATACCTATACAGGACCTCCAACCTTCTCGCTTGTTGTCATCAGGGAAGCTAATCCTACCCAGGTGTTTTTTGGAGGTGTTGTGAGAGGAGAAAGTGCAATGAAGTCAGAAGAAGAAATTGGAAGTTCGATTAACTTTACTTTCACTGTAAGTTCATACATTTCACCTATTTTTTAAATATTAATATTGTTTTCATAAAACTTACTGGTCACTTTATTGGGTATACCTGTTTGTTAATGCAAATATATAATTAGGTACTTACATGCGAGTATTGTTGCTGACCACGTCCATACCTTCATGATCACAGTGTCACAAAGCTCATACCCTCTCAAACTGGTTTCTTGAACATGACAATGAGGTGATTGTACTCAAATGGCCTCCAAAGTTACCAGAACTCAGGCCAATAGAGCATCATTGGGATGTGATGAAACGGGGGATTCAGATATCAGATATCACGTCAATATGGACCAAAATCTCAGTGTTGAATATTTCCAGCACCTTGTTCAAGCTATAATATGAAGATTTAAGACAGTTCAGGTTAAGGGAGATTCAACCCAGCGCTAGCAACGTGTACCTAATAAAGTGGTTGCAATGTTTATGTGAAATTGCAGAGTTGTTTCCTGTTAATTTCTCCTCCAGATAAACAACTCGTGGAAGCACTTGAAACCTTCTTTCGAAACCTCACTAAACATTTTTTGGCCCAAAATTCAAAAAAATGGGAAATGGCTTCTGTACCTGATGAGCATCACTTCTGAAGGACCAGAGAAAATCCATTGCTCCCCTAAAACTGAGATCAACCCTCTGAATATTGCTCAGGTAGCATATTTAAGCGTTCAGCTTCATGTGTTACAGCTGAAATTAGACCACTGATGAATGGGCCATTATGACACGCCTGCCCTGTTTGATTCTGTGTTGAATTAACGAGATGTTCTTTCAGCAGTCCTCTGTGCATCGAACAAAACGAGAAATTATGAAAGAAGAAAGAAAAACTGGTGGAAAAACGTCTTCGCTGAAGGACAAGAAGAGAGTTTTTGTAAGTGATATAAATGCACATGCACAGTTTAATAAAAGTGTTTATATGATGTTTAACTGTGTATTTGCCTACTAGTCCTGTGAAGATGGGATGGAAAAATGTGTGGTGTTCAAGTGCCCCCTGCAGGGGCTCGATGGTACAGTAGTCGTATTGAGATCCCGTCTGTGGAACTCAACCTTTATTGAGGTAATAAACAGCATTTTTATTGTTTTCACATGTCTCTTCATGTGAGATAAATCAAATCTCATGATTTTGCTTCATTAATAATTGTTGTTTTTTGCACACAGGAGTATGCCCCTAGTTCAACCTTGTCAGTAAAAGCCACACTTGAATTTGATACTCAGAGGGAAAACGTCATACTGACCAATCAAAACACAAATGTAAGCAATTCAAGCTGCATAACGACATTAACCTTATTGCTGTGTCGGTCCCAACTCAGTCTCTCGGATTTCCTCCCTTTTATGTTTTTTTCCAGGTGAATGTGAACGTGTCTCCTGACGATGAAGCAGCTAAGTATCAGGGAGGAGTTCCCTGGTGGATCATCCTGGTGGCAGTTCTCATAGGACTCTTGATTTTGATTCTACTGGTTTATCTGCTGTGGAAGGTGAGAACATGGATGTCACACCTACAGTTACACAATGGACATGGATATGAGAAAAGAACATGAATTTAGAGAACCCCTCGTGAAAATTAGCCAATTAGAAAAGGTAAATGAAGCCTGAAAATAAAGCTAAAGATACTTAAAAATAACATTTTCACCTTTTTTGCTAGATTTTTATGCTCTGATTGCCTTTCTCGGTTTGGTTTTATTGTGAGTATATGAGATATTGATACACTACATGGACAAAAGTGTTGGGCCCCACCTCTTATTCTTTGAATTCGAGTGTTTTCAGTCCAATCCCCACAGGATTATAAAGTCAAGCACCTAGCCATGCAGTCTGCCTTTGCAGACATTTGTGTGGAAACATGGCCTGTATTTGTATGGCGCTTTACTTAGTCCCTATGGGACCAAGACACATGGCTTTCAAAACAAGTATTTCGGTGCCTTGACATTAGTTGCCAGCCTAGCTCTGGTCAGCTGTAATAAAATCTGCCAACCGGCTCCATTAATAAAAACTTTCCCCCTTTTTTCACTTTACAGAAGGTGAAGTGTAAAAATGAAAATTCACTCTTTAATTATGGCAAAGAGCTCTGCACTGGAGAGCTTGTCAGCTCTAAATGATAGTTTATTGTTAGATTTGCATTAAAAGTTTCCATCCATATAAATCTGTTATTTGGTGACTAAAATACACTGTTGGGTAAACTCACTCAGGGTCTGGGTGGGTCATACCAAAACCTGGACATATAACTGATAATAAAACTCGCCACAACACAGTTTTAAGAAGGTGTAAATCATAACCCGAAGTTTAATATTTTCTACACGTTTGTTATTTGTCATATAACATCTGCACATCAACACTGGACTCCGGAGGAAGTATTTGCTTTAAAAATGTATGTTTGCTCCTGCTGGACACGTTTGTAACACTTCACCACCCTTGCTCCTCCTCAGTGTGGTTTCTTCAGGAGACCATCTAAAGACCAGTACAATGCTGCATATCAGAAGGCAGAGATCAACATTCAGCCGTCTGAAAAAGACAAACTCAGTGCTGAGGACTGATATATGCTCTCTGAACGTGGGTAAAGTCAGCATGGCGTGTGGTTACTGCAGTGACTAATGAACTTGCTTTTAAGCAAATTCTGCTGACTTGTTGAAGGAAAATTCAAATCAGACTCATATTGCACGTGTTATTTGTGGGGAAAAAGTCACTTTGCTCCTAAATTGAGTGAAATAGACATGCTGAAGAGAGATATTTTTCGTCTACATAAGAAAATAAATGTATATATTTTTTTTTATTAATAAGCTCTTTGTGCAATATGGTTCTGTGGATTTTTCAAGAGTAATGCATTTTCTCACCAGTAGACTTACTAGTTTCCCCTAGTGCTTCTGCAGGCGCTTTTCCTGACATCCCTGCACCTGTTCTGCTGCAAAAGTCAAGGTTGCAAGCATGCTCTGTTGCCACTGAGCATGCTTCCTCAGCATTTCTGCACAGCTCCTTTACAGACTGTGGGAATATTGCTGATACATTTTTTTTAAAGTTATTAATGCATTGTGTTTTCTTTAAAATTTCTCTTTCCTAGTGTGGATTCTTCAAACGCTCCAAAGAAAACGACAGCGTCCCTCGTTACCACGCAGTGCGGATAAGAAAGGAAACTCTTGAGCACAAAGATGGAAAAGTGAAACACGATCCTTTTGAAAAAAAGCAGTGGATGACGACTTGGATCGACAATGAAAGTTACTCATGACCTTTTTCTGCTCAGATGTTTGAACAAAGACAAAACTGATCTTAATTAATAATTTCATTAACATGTTGCTCAGATATAGTTTTTTTTTATTGCTAAATGCAGATAATGCTTTTTACACTGTATAGCCTATGAACTATTTTTTCTAATCGTTGTATATATTTGAATATGTCTGCGCATTTTATATTTATACTTTTTTTTTGTTGAAAAAAAGAAATCAAATCAAGCAACCAAAGTTTTATTCACTCATGTCTGAAGCCAAATAACAATGGGCAAAGTTTACTGCTGTTTTTAAAGTTGTACTGTCTCACTGGAAGGCAAGGCAAGGCAAGGCAAGTTTATTTGTATAGCACAATTCAACAACAAGGTGATTCAAAGTGCTTTACAGAGACATTAGAAACAAGAACAAATAAAAAGCATGATTTAAAATTGAATAAAACAAGCAAATAAACTAACTAACTAATTAACAAACAAACAAACAACAGTATATAAAATCAAAACAGATAAAATCAGAACAGTAGATAAAATCAGTAGTTAAATGTAAGTTTTGAAATTTAAGCTTAAAGTGTGGATTTGGTGCTTTATTCAAATGCAGCTGAGAACAGGTGAGTCTTCAACCTGAATTTAAATAAACTGAGTGTTTCAGCTGATCTGAGGCTTTCTGGGAGTTTGTTCCAGATATAAGGAGCATAAAAGCTGAATGCAGCTTCTCCGTGTCTGGTTCTGACTCTGGGAACTGATAAAAGACCGGATCCAGATGACCTGAGGGATCTGGATGGTTCATACTGGGTCAGGAGGTCACTGATGTATTTTGGTCCTAAACCATTCAGAGCTTTATAGGCCAGCATCAGAACTTTAAAGTCTATCCTCTGACGGACAGGCAGCCAGTGTAAGGACCTCAGAGCTGGACTGATGTGGTCCACTTTTTTGGTCTTAGTGAGGACTCGAGCAGCAGAGTTCTGAATGAGCTGTAGTTGTCTGACTGATTTTTTAGGTAGACCTGTAAAGATGCTGTTACAGAAGGTACAGCCAGTCACTGTAATATGAATGTAAATGAGGGTTTTTTTCTGTGAATGGTAAGTATGTAAATTTTCTGTTTTTTCTTCTTTGAAATGACATTTAGGTACATTGTCTTGTCACAAACAATAGATATTTGAAAATAACTGTGCGAGTCTAATGTGAGAGCAGCTCCATTTTTCCTCTCTGCTCACATTAGCTCACCTTGGTTCTCACATATGAACTCCATCTACTGTACTACGAGCCTCACTTTTTGGTCTCTGTGGGGAATTCAAAGCGAAGACGGTGAAAATCAAGTGAAACGCTTTAATTCAAAATGCCTTAAAAAAAAGTTTTTGCCAAGTAAAATAAAAATGCTTAAAGAAAATCTTTTCCTGTTGAATTTTCTTGTCATGAACATATCTGACATGAAAGCAGGACTGAAGTCAGTTATCTTTATAAAGTTATTTCACATTCAGCTGTAACAAACTCCTTTCTAATAGCGAGTTTTCAGATAGTCAGAAATCCAAACACATGAAGTATCTGATTCAATTCAATCTTATTTATACACTGCCAAATTACAACAACAATCACCTCAAGGCGCTTTATACTGTAAAGTAGACCCCACACTAATACAACGGGGAAAACCCCAACAATCATATGATGCCATGTGAGCAAGCGCTTTGGTGACAGTGGGAAGGAAAAACTCCCCTTTAACAGCAGAACCAGGCTCAGGGAGGGGCGGCCAGGGGTGGTTGGGGTGATGGAAGGAAGACGGGATAAAGACATGCTGTGGAAGAGAACTGCAGATTAATAATAAGTAGTGATTCAATGGAGGTGTATAAACACATGGTGAGTAAGAAAGGTGTCTGAAAAAGAAATACTCAATGCATTATGGGAATCCCACAGGAGCCTACACCTAATGGAGGATAACTAAGAGAGAATTCAGGGTCACCCGATCCAACCCTACCTGTATGATTTAGCAAAAAGCAAAGTTTTAAACCTGTTACTGAACAATTAACGATTAATTCATTTGCAGGTTTTGCAGGTTTTACTACTAAACGTAGTAAAACCTGCAAAACTACCACTGCCACTGCTTTTATGTTAGAACATGCATTTATATGTACTGTGTTTGGAGATATCACAACATGAAGAACTTAGTATGTTTTAAAAAGTGTTCTATAAATAATGGTATTATAAATTATTGTTCAGCACAAGATCTGAAAACTCTTTGCTGACGATAAGAGCCCGACTGATTTAGCAGCCAGTATTAGTTATCTGCTGATCTATCCGTATGAGCATTTTTAATGGCTGATAAATATAAATTTTACCCTTTAAAGTCTGAACCATGAAGCAGTTGTTAGAAAACTCTCATTTTTGAAAATCGAGTTTCTAGCCATTAAAATTTTTTTTATTAAATATTATTTTGCATACATGAGTTTTGATTTGTATTATATTTTCTTCATTTGCATTTTTTATTTATTTATTACTTCCAGACCCATTCTGCCCGACTCTTCCAGCCCAGTCAGGCAGAATGTAAATGAGTAATTACATAAAACATAACAAACAACTATTTATGGCACTAAAACTTGGACTCTACTGGCAGAATCACTTCCTCTTAATAAAAGCTGTAAACTGAAGAGTTAAGAGGCTTCCAGCACAATTTGTCTGCATTTTTAAAAAATAACCAGCAAATGAAAACTGAAATCTTAGCTTGGCTATGATCATCATCAGAAATGTATGGCTTTGCAAAGTGTAAAAAGTCCAGTGAAATCACTAGTTACTCCAGATTTTCAATGAAATGTGTTTTGGGGCTCTTATTGTGGTGAGCCCAGCTTCACTACACAGGAGTAGAAATTGATAGAAAGCTTTTTTTTTTAACTTGCTTTTTAAAAATAAATTTAATTGGTTTTTTTTGTTTTTAAAATTCAGTTTCATTTTGGTTTGATTCCACGGTGGGTTTCCTTGCTTCAGTTTAGCTGTCATTGTTTAAAAGTCTTTAGTTTTTATTAGTTTGGGTGTTTTTAATTTGCATATGTCAGAGACAAGATTTAGGAAAATCAGTACAGGTAATACCTTAAAAACAGAAATCTTTGAAAGCAGTTGACTTTCAGTCTTGAAGGCATTCAGAGTCTCGATAATCATCAAAGTCTCATCAGTTGTAATATTGTAATAACCGATGCTAAAACTAAGATTTACAGTAATTGTTTACTTTTCAGCTAGTAATAATTTCTTGAAAGTTTTTATTATAGTTATAAAAAACTTTTTTTCTTGTTTGGGATCCAGAACAAGTTTCTTCTTCAGGGAAAATAAAGTATAAAGTAAATTAAAGTTATATAGTGGTGCTACTGGATTGGCCTACAGTGGGGCAAAAAAGTATTTAGTCAGCCACCGATTGTGCAAGTTCCCCCACTTAAAATGATGACAGAGGTCAGTAATTTGCACCAGAGGTACACTTCAACTGTGAGAGACAGAATGTGAAAAAAAAAATCCATGAATCCACATGGTAGGATTTGTAAAGAATTTATTCGTAAATCAGGGTGGAAAATAAGTATTTGGTCACCTCAAACAAGGAAAATCTCTGGCTCTCACAGACCTGTAACATCTTCTGTAAGAAGCTTTTCTGTCCCCCACTCGTTACCTGTATGAATGGCACCTGTTTGAACTCATCATCTGAATAAAAGACACCTGTCCACAGCCTCAAACAGTCAAACTCCAAACTCCGCCATGGCCAAGACCAAAGAGCTTTCGAAGGACACCAGGAAAAGTATTGTAGACCTGCACCAGACTGGGAAGAGTGAATCTACAATAGGCAAGCAGCTTGGTGTGAAAAAATCAACTGTGGGAGCAATCATCAGAAAATGGAAGACATACAAGACCACTGATAATCTCCCTCGATCTGGGGCTCCACGCAAGATCTCATCCCGTGGGGTCAAAATGATCATGAGAACGGTGAGCAAAGATCCCAGAACCACACGGGGGGACCTGGTGAATGACCTGCAGAGAGCCGGGACCAAAGTAACAAAGGTCACCATCAGTAACACACTACAACACCAGGGAATCAAATCCCGCAGTGCCAGACGTGTTCCGCTGCTGAAGCCAGTGCATGTCCAGGCCCGTCTGAAGTTTGCCAGAGAGCACATGAATGATACAGCAGAGGATTGGGTCTTCCAACATGACAATGATCCAAAACACACCGCCCGGGCAACAAAGGAGTGGCTCCGTAAGAAGCATTTGAAAGTCCTGGAGTGGCCTAGCCAGTCTCCAGACCTCAACCCCATAGAAAATCTGTGGCGGGAGTTGGAAGTCCGTGTTGCTCGGCGACAGCCCCAAAACATCACTGCTCTCAAGAAGATCTGCATGGAGGAATGGGCCAAAATACCAGCTACTGTGTGTGCAAACCTGGTAAAGACCTATAGTAAACGTTTGACCTCTGTTATTGCCAACAAAGGTTATGTTACAAAGTCTTGAGTTGTATTTTTGTTATTGACCAAATACTTATTTTCCACCCTGATTTAAGAATAAATTCTTTACAAATCCTACCATGTGGATTCATGGATTTTTTTTTTTTTTTTTTTTTTCACATTCTGTCTCTCACAGTTGAAGTGTACCTCTGGTGCAAATTACTGACCTCTGTCATCGTTTTAAGTGGGGGAACTTGCACAATCGGTGGCTGACTAAATACTTTTTTGCCCCACTGTACATGCCAGTTTAAGCTGTATTTGGCCCATGAACCAAAATGAGTTTGACACCCTGCGCTAGAGGCTAAGCCAGCCGACTTACCAACAAGTGCCAAAATCGGGAAATAGCACTTTAATGAAGTCCCAGAAACTTAATTTAGACCCTGATCCTTGTGATGGAAGCGCTTTGAGTATCACCAAATGGTTCCTGCAGGAAATGATTACTGATGCAAAAAGTTTCAGCTGCCAGTCTAACAAAATAAAAAGCAACAAATCCTGCATCCATTTCAGTCCAAGTATTATGTGGCCTGTTCAACGTGCCATGTTGACAACCTTTGAAAAACAGTTATCTTTAGTAATAAGAGATATGGCTTGTTTGCACCAGAAGGTGGCATGGTAGAAGTTCATGTTTGCCTTATTTGTCCATCAACAGTTTGTTTTTTTGTTTACTGCACAAACTTAAATCTGTAAATAGAACAAATCAATTCCATCCACACCTCTCTTATCAAAATATATATGCTTAGCTGTAATTCAGCTATTACAGGGGCACCGGATATGTGAACAAAGCACTCCCTCTGACACAGAAAATAATTTTGTATTTAATGCCCACTGTTTTGCACATGTCTCAACTCTGTATATTTTTTATATATTTTATTTATTGTTT